CAGTCTACCATACCAGGGTGGCAGGGTCTCTGCACACGGAGCCCCTTCCTCTTCAGGTCCTGATCTCCCTCCATTAGCACTTCCCATGGGACAGGAGACCTGACCAGCATCAGCCTTTCCCCATTTCTACCATGGTCCTGGGCGAGCAGAGGGCCAGGGCGCCGCATGGCCCATCACCCACTCACCAGCAGATGCTCTGCTTCCCCTGGGGACTGTGTACTGACACCTGTCAGCTCCTCGTCCTCTAGTTCCTGCTCTGAGGCCAAGGTGGACGGTGATCCTCTGTTGTCCAGAGCCCCAGGCCCTCTTGGGGGACACGAGCGCCAGAAAAAGACCTTGGGAAAGTAAAGAGCCGACTCAGGAATCCTCACCCACAGCTCCTGCAGGGTCTCAGGGTACAGGGTACGTTCTCCGCCCCACCCCCTCCCATGCTGTCCCCCCAGAGTGGCACAGGCTCAGCACATCTAGGACTCTGCTGCTGGCACCAGGACCCTGGTGCTGTGCTACCGGGGGGCCAGCACCCTTGCCTGACACTCCCTCTGCCCCCATGGTGCAGGGCTGTGGGGTGAGGGTGCCTCAAAGGCAGCTGGAAGGACAGGGCTCAGCACTGCCAACTGGCCTGTGAGCTGCTCACAACGGGCCCGTTGGCCTCTCACAGTCAGCCCAGGCACCCAGGGCACCTCAGAGAGCCAGGGGCAGCAGTACAGGACAAATCAGGACTTGTTGTGGGTGGGAAGAGGTTCCTGAGGGCCCAATGCTGCCAGGTCCTGGAGAAACCAACTCACTCTGTTCATGCACTTGGCGTCCACTCCACAACCTAGAAGAGAAGGGACGTCTGCCTTAGCAGTGGGGAGGGCCTCATTGTAGCACCTCCCTCCCCATAGACAGTGCAGGGGCAGAGTGTGGGCTGGGGGCTCAGACATGGAACAAGGAGCCCTGGGCCTGGTGACAGGCAGGGGGCCATTCCAACTCTGGGGCACCCTCGGCGGGAGGGAATAAAAATAAACACGAATAGAATGTCTGTTGGGTTCTGCTCTGACCAAAGCTGTATAAAGCCGCTGACCCTCTCCTCCTGACTCTTGTCACCCGATTGAGGAGCTGACCACCTCTCTGCCCGGGCTGGGGGCTCTGAAGACACGAAGAACTGGCCCTGGCCCCCTGGACTTGGCCAGGGACAGGAGGTGACCATCAGCCCCGAAATGGGGGCTGATGTGATCCCGGCCCTCGTGAGGTGCAGGTGAGGTGGGAGATGGGGGGTGATGCCCAGGAACAAGATCAGAGCCAGGCCAGAAAGACCGAGGATTTGGGAGAGGGAGGGGAGGGGCTTTCTGTCTGGAGAAACAAAGCAGGAGTGAGGGAGGTGGAGACTGCCAGCACCTTTCCCTCCCTCCCCCCATCTCACCTTGAAGGACTCGCTTCCTGTAATAATATGCAGTGACCACCAGCAGCAGGACAACACCCACTGCCCCGACTACAATCCCCATCACCAGCCACGGATTGCCTGAGGAGGGAGAGGAAGCGGTGGGTGGCCACGGGTTTGTGGTCACTGGCTCTCCAGAAACTGGGGCCTCCCCACTGGCCTGGATACCTGATTCTTGGTGGACACACTTGAGGTCACTCCGGGCGGTACAGGGAGTGGCCTCAACCATCCCATCGGGGCACCTGGGTACAGACAGAGGGAGGACATGGAGGGGATTCATGAGGGAAAGCTGGCAAGATGGGGAGAAAGAGGGAGCAATCTCCTGCCCAATGTCCCCTGACAAGAGCGTGCAGGAAGAACAGGCTCCTCCTGTCTGCAGGGCCAGGTCCCCTCACTCCCCTGTTGGGTGGGAGAAGATCTGAGCACGCGCACTTCAGTGCCTAGGGCTCCTGCTGAGTGTTCAGAGCTGCACCTGCACGAGTGAGCCTTCTCCCCAAGGCCTGCGTGAGCTTCCCTGGGCTGCAGGGGGAGCCGCAGGTGAAGGGGCATCTCATTCCAGGTCAAGGGTCAGAAGCCCTTTTAGGCACAAGCTGAGCCTCATCCTCCGTCAACCCCTAATACAAGGAACCTCTTGTCCTCCACCTGTTGACTGTTCCTCCAATCACAGCCAACACTGGGGCTCCAAGAAGCGGAAATTACTACTGGCCCCTAAATCCCAGTAAGAGGGAAAACACACGTCTTCCTGAGGGAACCAGGGCCTGCGGGAAGGCAGGCTGAGTCGGCTCAGGGCTTTATGGAGCTGTAGGCTAGGTCTCATGACTTGCCTGTGGGCACTTTTGTGTTCATGGGCCCTGCCTGCATAAAAAAAATATTAAAAATTACACTTGAAGATGGAATTGTTATAAAGAGGAATATAAGCCCAGCTGCATTCCACTCAATTTTTTCCTTCTGATTTCAAAAGGAACTAAACCTTTTCATGGGCCCCTGACAGTATCATGGGCCCTAATTAGTGGCCTGCTGGGCCCAATGGAAAACTTGAACTGGCCAAAGGGAAAACACGCTGAGGAGATGTGGGGGGAAGGGGACACTGCAGGGGCCAGTGTGGCGACACACAGATGGACAAGCAGGGGCCGCTGCCGGCTCAGAAGACCCCAGCGGCACAGGGAAGCCCTGGGGACGTGGAGGGGCTGCATGGAAGAGGACAGAGACAGGGACAAGGGAAGTCGCGTCTCCTGTGGCTTGGGAGCCACTTGTGTCGCAAGTGTCGCACCTGGTGCTGCACTTCTGGCAGACCTCGGGAGAATCTTCTCCGTGGAAAGTGCCACGTTTGCATTGGCACCGTGTGTTCTCAGTCCTGGTGCAGGGGGCGATCTGTTCTTCATCTGAAGACACAGGATAAGGTTTTGGGGACGCGTTTCCCTCAAGTGTCCCTCAACCCTCCTTCACCACCCAAATCCCCTCCACTCAGCTCCACTCAGGTCACTGTAGCTTTGAGGGTCAGTTTCTGCAGCACACACACGGGGCACACAAAGCACAGCCACCATTCCCCTGTCACCAATACTCAGCGGTGTAAAAAAAGGACCACGATTCATTATTTAATGCATCAGGAGAGCGAGAAAAACTCTTAGCTCACAGGGTCAGTGGGAAGGGCGGGGTGTAATCTGAGAGACCCTGAATGGACAGGAGCCCTTGGGTGACTTCCCAACACCTGGCCCTGCTGGAGAGGCAGAGGGGCCTCAGGCTGTGGAGGCTGAGAGATGCCGAGCACCTGCCATGAGCACAGAGCGCAGGGCTAAGAGGGCCTGGCCCAGGACCAGACCCATGCCACAGCTCAGACCTTTCCACTAGGCCAGGCCTTTTCTCATGCTGCAACTATACAGCTCCCCCCATCAAGGGACCGATTATTTTCCCACTTTCATCCAGCAGTTGAAAAGATTTCCCTATCATGTGGCGTGCATTATAAAAATAATATCTCTTTTTATTTTATTGACCTAAGACATAATCATGCAACAGGGTAAGAGGAAGATCAAGAAGGATTGGAATCCAGGTGTCCTGACTCCATGCGGGATACAATGCCCACCTCATCACCCCTGCACGTGGCATGTGGTCCCCATGTTCTGTACCTGATTTACATGTAGAGCATGGTAAGCAGGAAGAGAGCTTACTCCAGTGACTGGTGTAATCCACTCCATATGTACAAAATGTACAATTTTTATTGTCTTCTGATACGCGGGATCCTGGGAAGGGAGAGAAAATCTGGTGAATGAATCCCCACAAGATTCCCAGGGCTGGCAGTGGTGATTGGGGGACCCTCTTTCAGCCACCAGTGAAGTCCAAACAGGGAAATCCACTCTCCCTGGCATTGGCCACTTCATCAGTTCTGCATCTACTATACACCCAGGACCAGCATTGTAACAGAAATATATTATAAGCCAACATGAAATTCAAATACTATAGGAGTCACATTAAAGGAGTAGACGGAAACAGGTCAGATTAATTTTAATAATGCATTTTAATCAACGTATTCAAAATAATATCACTTAAACGTAATAAATATAAAACATTCAGACATTTTACATTATTTTTTCAAAGTATGTGTTAGAATCCAGGGAACATGTCTCCCTTACATCACTAACGATTCAGAGTAGCCATATTTCAGGTGCTCAATAGTCTCAGGTGCCTAGGGACTGCTGCATTGGACAGTGCCACCTAGGTCCCTGGAAAGTCACAGAAGAAAGTCCTAATCTCTGTCCTCAATGAGCTCCAGGTCAGTGGAAGAAACAAACGACAATCAGGGACAAGCTTCAGTTAAAGAAAATGGAAGGAAAAATGGGTCCTACGTGTAAAGAGTCAAAGACTGATCCAAAGAAAGGGGACTTTGTGCCCTGGTATGTGGAGGTGTTCTCCAGGCACTGAGCTGTACTCATTAAGCAATCACTCCCCATTTCCCCTTCCCCCTCAGCCCCTGGTCACCACTCATCTATTTTCTGTATCTAAGAATTGACCTAGTCTAGACATCCCTATAAGGGAATCATACAATGATTGTGTTTGGCTTATTTCACTGCGCATAACGTGTCTGAGGTTCATCCATGTTGTAGCATGTCTCAGAATTTCAGTCAGTGCAGGAGCTCTCACTACCCGCAGCCCATGTCCCGAGGCTAGACTGGCATCTCTAGGACTGGTCCTTCACATGACCTCACTCTCCCCTGCAGGATCAACCTCTCCTTCTCTATATTCATTTTTTATTGTGGTAAAATATATGTCACATAAAATTTGCCATTTTACCACTTTTAAGTGGTTGTGCAACCATCACCACTATCTATGCGTCCCGAGGCTAGACTTGGTTTTACCATGTTCTCCACCATCCTGAGTCAGCTGGCTTGACAGAATGGTGGAATAGCCTTTTGAAGACTCACTTACAATGCCAGCTAAGTGGCAATATCTTGTAGGGTTTGGACAAGGTTCTCCAGGTGACTATATATGCTCTGAATCAGTGTCCAATATATGGTACTGTTTCTTCCACAGCCAGGATGCATGGGTCCAGGAACCAAGAGCTGGAAATGGGAGACACCACTCACTATTACCCCTAACTATCCACTAGCAAAATTTTGCTTCTTGTTCCCACGACGTTGTGCTCTGCTGGCCTAGAGGTCTTAGTTCCAGAGGGAGGAATGCTTCCACCACAGGACAACAACGATTCCACTGAACTGGAAGTTAAGACTGCCACTCAGCCACTTTGGGATCCTCACGCCTCTGAGTTATCAGGCAGAGAAGTTACTGTGCCGACTGGGCGACTGACCCCGATTACCAAGGACAAACGGGACTTGAAGTACACAGTGGAGGTAAGGAAGATCATGTCTGGAGTACAGGAGATCCTCCTGGGGCTTTCTTAGTATTACCACGCCTATGATCAAAGTCAATGGAAATCCATAACAACTCAATTGAGGCAGGACTCCTAATGACTCAGACCCTTCAGGAGTGAAGGTTTGGATCACCCTACCACACATAGAGCCATATCAGCTGAGGTGCTTGCTGCGCGCGGGGGAAATGCAATGGGTAGTGAAGGAGGTAGTTATAAATACCAGCTGTGACTGTGTGACCAGTTACAGAAACAAGGACTGTAATTGTTACGAATATTTCTTCTTTAGTACGTTATGCCTATGTTTTTGTATGTCTATATGTTAAGCAAATATCTTTGTTTTCTTCCCTCTCTTATCCCATTATCATATGACATAAGATGTGTTGACTTCGTATCATAGTACTTAAGTGTTGTTAACTTACATCATAGTATTTAAGTTATGGGACGTGGAGGACAAGAGTAAACACAACCCAAGGACATTGCATCCTCTTCTGAGGAAAGGGTTAGTGTGCTTTCAGAGGTGTGCAGCATACATGCATCATGTCAGATAGAACTATGACCTTCTTATTGTCTTTATTTGGAGATCAAGCATGGTTAGAAAGATTTCTAAATCTTCTAAAATTCTGTATTTGTCAGGGTTCTCCAGAGAAATAGAACC